TGGCTGACATGATGCTGAGAAGGAAGGTAGAGAGCTGGCTGGCATGATGCAGAGAAAAAAAGGTAGAGAGCTGGCTGGCATGATGCAGAGAAGGAAGGTAGATGTTTTGTGTCCAAGAGACCAAGTGGAACGCAGCAAGGCTCGCAGCATTGGAGCAGGGTTTAAACTGTTTTACCATGGTGTGGATAGAAAGAGAAATGGAGTAGGGGTGGTCCTGAAGGAGGAGTTGGCAAAGAATGTAGTAGAGGGGAAAAGAGTGTCAGATAGGATGATGTGTCTGAAGGTAGTAGAAGGTCTGATGCTAAACATCTTCAGTGGTTATGCTCCACAGGTTGAATGTGATGAGGAGGAGAAAGATACATTTTGTAAAGATCTGGATGAAGTGATAGAGAGTATTCCCAGGGAGGAGAGGGTGGTGATGGGAGCAGACCTGAATGGACATGTTGGTGAAGGAAACAGAGGAGATGAGGAAGTGAAGGGTAGGTTTGGTGTCAAGGAAAGAAACCAGGAAGGACAGATGGTGGTGGATTTTGCCAAGAGAATGGAAATGGCTGTAGTCAACACTTATTTCCAAAAGAGGGAGGAGCATAGAGTGACCTATAAGAGTGGAGGAAGGAGTACGCAGGTCGACTACATTCTGTGTAGAAGTGGAAACCTGAGGGAGATTGGAGACTGTAAGGTTGTGGCAGGGGAGAGCGTGGCCAGACAGCATCGGATGGTTGTGTGTAGAATGACTGTTGTGAAAAAGAGTCAAATCAGAGAAGAAGACCAAATGGTGGAAGATAAAGAAGGAAGAATGTGATAAATTCAGAGAGGAGCTGTTGAAGGCTCTGGGTGGTAAGAAAGAGCTTCCAGATGACTGGACTACTACAGTAGGGCATTAACAGAGTACTCGAGTAATCTACACATCGATTGCAAGGACATCTATCGAGGTTAAAAATTTAACATGGAGTATCCGTAGTGACGTCATATTATGTGACCACCGTATGATTGTAGGGGGCGGTGTTGCACAGTTGCAGGTCACAGAATATGGTGCAACACCGGGTCCAATCCACCGAACCAGAACCAGTTTCGGTTTAAGTTTCGTTTTTGACGTGCTGCACGTTTCTTCACGTTTGCAGTTTAATAATAACAACTAATAGTTTAGTTTTTCCTGTGACTTCAGTATGATAAACGGTAGGAGCATAATATACGCTCCCAATGTTTTGTTGGTCTTTTTTTGTAAATAATTACCTTTTATTGTGGTTTTATTTATTTTTGTATCTTGAGATCTATGACGTCATCAAATACTCGAGTTCTACTCGGGTTTTATTATGTTAATATCGATTTTAAAAATGATATACTCGTTCAACCCCTATACTACAGCAACAGTAATTAGAGACAGGTAGGAAGGTACTCGGTGTGTCATCTGGACAGAGAATCTTCCATTCTAGTTTATTCTGAAAGGGTTAAAAGGTGGAAACTGTTGGTCATCCATGTTGGCTCACGGGAGCGGTGAAAATCACCGGCTAGCTGAATTAGCAGCAGCGCATGTCTCTGCACCTGAAAGCCTTTGTTTCATTAGATGACTTGAATGGACTTGAAGTCACTGGAAGTCGCGACCGTGAGGACACGGCCATGTTTTCGGTCAAAACGCCGACTGATTGTAACAGATCGGATCAGTTTTTCCTTGAACGCCAACGTTTATGGAGTTAAGTCGATAAAGGTCCTACCTCCATGTCCGTTGTTCAGTCTCTTGTCCCGGTGGACCACGGTGCTCCAACTGTTCTCAACGCTGGGGGGGCGGAGGTTCCACAGAGGGACTTGTCTGCACACAGAGCAAACCGTTAATAGGTGCTGGGGGGTGGGTTGACGTTTACAGCCACCACGCTTACTTTGTTCCCAGTTCTTCAATGTAAACGGTCACCGGGCCGTTAGTGGGAGGAATCTCTCTGACGATGGCACTGTAGCTCCGCCCACTGTTCTCCAGACGGACCTGAACACGACAAAAAGAAGTGAAAATTAAATCTGACGCAAGTAGTTTTAAATTAGCAGAAAGGAGCCGTCAGACCGACCTGGCAGCGATCCCCGACGGAGAACTGCATCCCCGCAGCGATGGAGTAATCCATCTTCTGCTGGGCTGAAGATTAAACAAACAAATAAACAAATAAACCATTAAAACTTTAAAACAAAGACGAGGGGTTATATCTGGGCCTTCATTTCAGAAACAACATCTGAAAGAAGCTCAAGTTCGGCTATTAAAGCTAAAGGCAGAACAGCTCAAGAGTCAAATGTAGCAAACTAAACCTAAAAGCATCAAAATGCTAGCTAAAAGTAGAAAAACACAAGCTAAAAATGTTAAAAATGCAAAAAGCTGGTTCAAAACCAAAGCCAGTAAAACAGTAGCAAGAAGCCATAAGTGGCAAAAAGTTAGATAAAAACGGTAGCCAAGTAATAAATGAAAGCTCCAAGTAGCAAAAGGTTAATGAAAATCAGTA